ATGTGGCAATGTATTACACTCCTAGTGCTTTATTTTATGTTGTATAAAGTTGTATCTGCATTTTACAGCATAATTAAATCAGAGCTATAATTGCAGACACTTCAAGTCACTCAACAGAGATTCAGCATCTGAGAAAGTTGTTGGATTACCACACGCTCTAAGGACTTACCCATTGCAGTCATGTAGCCATCTAAGTTGTCATTGCTGATGATGTCCCATGTACCACAGAGGCTGGCTGGCATTTTGATGACCGTTTTTTGTTCCTCCTTCTGAGCTGTGTGCGCGTGAGCGTGCGTAAAAATGTGATCCTCAAACTGCTAGGCTGATGAGGAGTTCTGAAAAAACGCTGTTTTGTGAGAGACCTGGTGTATAAAGGTAGTTGTTCCTCTATCAATTTGCTGTCACCTGAGAACCATGTAAGACGGAGGGAGGAGCTCTAATTTGTGGGTGTAAAAGGAAGGCCAGACATGTCAGACTGGTCTCACCACTGACTAACACACCCTTCAGAATTAACCTGGCTTCGCACATTAATTGCACACACATACACACAAACATAAGGAAAAACATGTTGACCTTCATATTTGGAGGAATGCTTAATTATTTGCTTAATTATGATCCTTCTTGGGTATTTACATCCGTTATCCCATCACATTACAAAAAAACAGTGTTATTATAGCCACTCAAAATCTATAAAAAAGACAACACCTCTTGCTCACTCCTACAGCTGTGGATAAGCATAACTCTGAAATGCTTATTATTCATATTCAAATGAAAATGATTTGGCAAATATTTTTTGTCATGCAATAGCTGTTTAAGACAGGACCTATTTTTCAGTTGTGACAATCTAACTCAAACCTCCCTGGCTGTTTTTATCTAAATTACCAATCAAAATGGCACACCTATCTGTGCAATGGGGGAAGTAATACTGACAGGAATTGATGCACCTCCAGATTGAAAGAAAATGAAACACACAGCGCTTGTCCAAACATTAAGATAGTATTTCCTCCTTCGTTACTTCAAGAAGCAAAACGAAAGCTCAGACGCAGGTTGTTTGGCTCGAAACCAGCCAAACAACCTGCTCAAGCTGGTTTCCCACCGAGACTCTACATGTGCTTAAACAATGTCATAGGGAACTGACGCGGAAATAAGATTAACATGACTCGATGTGATGAGAATCAACCAACTCTTAACCCAGTTAACAGTAACTTGGCTTTTAAGTTTGAATACTATATCCATGTAATGCAATCTACTACCATTAAATCAACAAATTCAACTTTCATTTCAACACACTACTGTCAGTCTTCAGTGAGCAGGATTTGGTTATTTCAGCTATTATCTTCTGTCAGTGATGATTAACTGAAAGATAAGTTAACCCCTGCGGACAAACGTTTTAATCAGACAGAAAGGGTGCAGATTTTAACACTTTCCTAACTGAGGATGATGTGTGGGACAATAGCATCGGAACAGCAATGAAAAGCTCCTGAGGTGGGAGACAAAGAGGGTCGTTTATTTCAATGTCGTTTAATCAATCAGCACTATAGAAAAGACCACAGGTGAGTGCCAGTTTACAACAACAATGGAAGCCAAGAGAGCATTGAGAAGCCTGCTTTCAAAAATGTGTATTAGCAATTGAAATTTACGCTTTATTTTTTGTCTCCACAATGCTGTCTTTATTAACTATATTCTTTTTAGACTGTCAGTGCAAAATGCTGCTAGTCTTGTGTGTTGTTTGCTCAACATATTCATGTACTTTACTCTAACAACATCTCTGAAAACTGTAGTAAAGTTTAAATGAAGTCTTTCATTTTGCAAAAGACTTGCTGCTTGTCCGTGCGGTTGTGTGGACTGTGTGTAGTTTTGACTCAATGAGCCCTGTTTTCAAAATCGCGCTTAAGCAACAGTAAAAAAAGTATCATAAGTAAACATGTTGAAAGCATATTGCCTGCTTTAACATGAGGGAGTGCACGAACAAACCGTGCTCTAGGTACAAAAACGTGGTGAGAGAGAGTATACCGAAACATTGAGGTAAAGCAAATACATTTGTTCCTATCATATTTCACGAAACACTAGACGCACTGTAGGCTGACTACTTCACACCAAAATTGTGAATCCATAGTTCAATTAGCACACAACAGATTTATTTCTACAGCAGCAATGACATTTAGATGACCTCCCAGCCAGTTGCGCATTTATTCTGTTTTTTGAAATTGTTTCCACACACACACACACACACACACACACACACACACACACACACACACGTATGCTAATTTAATTGTTACTAAATCACTTCCCTCAGAAAAGTCTATGTAGATTTATCTTCTTAAAAAACACACCCATTACTATCTGTTCAGCAGGCACTGGTGGACGCTTGGATTGTGAAACACACAGTGTAAAAAGCTGACATCCCTGTTTCTGCAGCAGTACACTTCCTCAGCTTGAGGAGGCATCCGAGTATCTCTGAAGAGGTGCTAGAACCACGTCTGCATTCTTCTCCTCGCTCTCCGCGCTGTAGAGCCCGTGCTCTCGTATGAAATTAACCACGCCGTCTGGCAGCAGGTACCTGACGCTCCGACCGCGCCGCAGCGACTGGCGTACGTGAGTGGCTGAGATCTCGTTGGTCACCCATTCGTGGACCACATGGATGTTCTTGCGATACTTCCACAGCATGTCTGATTTGTGGATGAATTTGTGGGGGTCACTGCCGCTGCGGGTGATGCAAACCAAACCGTAGCGGCCCACAATCTCAGCAATATCCTCCTGCTTCCACAGGTTGGGTACTCCAAAGGACTCGAGGACATCAGCCCCACAAAGCAACATCAGCTGAGGGCCGTCTGAGCATGAAGAAAGAATCGTATCTTATTTGTGTATTTTAACAAAGGTACTAAGTGATTTACAGAGCAAACAATAAAAGAAAAGGAAAATGCAGAAAACAGAGAGTGAGATCATAAAAGTAGCGATTAGATGATCAAACACTGGATACTCAAAATTGAAGCTAAGAAATATATACATACATATTAAGTATTTATAAATGCTGTTTTACAAAATAATTATTTATCAAGAGACATTACAGACGGAGTCGTTAAGTTTAGTTTAGTTATGATGGATGTCATTGCTTCGAAACCACTTTAGCTACATTTAAGTGATTTACAGTTTTGTAACCAATCAGTGCTCTGCAGACTCTTTTTAAATCATATCTTAATTAATTATCAATAATAGTTACGACTTAGAACAGAATGCACTTCTCCTGCTCATGTATATATTCCTGTGCAGTGCAGCCACATGCGAGAGATTCGCGCGGTTTAAACGTGTCAGTAGTGTGAAGAAAGTTGTTAAATTGAAGTGTCTGAGACTTACACCTTGCCTGTCTCTACCATAGGTGGTGTGGGATGGGTGTCACCCACCGCACCCTGACACCATCATCTCCTGTTATGAGTTAAACTGAATACAATAAAACACGAATAGGTGGAGGCAGGATCAGACTTGTCTGGAATCGGGGATTGGAAAAGGGAGGAGATGAAAAGAACACACGATCAAACATGGCTTACCTCTCCTTGTGCAATGAGATGATTTCTCAGAATTTTCCTCTATACGTCTCTTTTTTGCGTACTTGACCGTGTCCACATCATCGTTGCTCTGCTCTGCTGCAAGCAGCTTGTCATAGTGATGCCTAAGACGATACAAACAAAATTTAGTATTCAGCCAAAACACTTCAACTCTATTTCATACTGTGGATTAGGCCTCTGGGAAATCAAACAGCAAACAAATGTCCTTTATCTCTAAAGTAAAATGGATGATTTTGTGACTGTGCTTTGCACTTAATATGTTTCTTATTTACCACATAAAATTTATTTTTAATCAAAATTCAACTTTAAGTTTCATCTTAAAAAAAACTATCATCAGTGTCAACATTTGCTCAGCTCAGGTTTTTAAGTTGAGTTAAATGCATTTTATATATACAGCCCAATATCACACACAGGATAACACTTCCTCTGTCCTTAGACCCCCACTTCACACAAGGAAAAACTCCCCCGAAAAAAACCCATGGAAGAAACATCTGGAAGAGCAACTGAGAAGAGATCAATCCTCCTAGACGGATAGACGTGCAAAAGATGTCGTGTGTACAGAATAACCAACATAATTAAATTAGAGTAAAGACAATCCAAATCCCTAACTTAAATAGATTTTAGTGGCAAATATATTTTTTTAAAGCCATTTAGAAAACGTGTCAATTTTCAAAGTGACAGGAAAATAGTTAAGAAAGACTTATTACCATGATGAGAAATAATGTCACATATCAGGTTAAAGTTCGATCAAAGCCTTAACTTTTAAATAGATATGCAATACTGGATTTAGAGCAAGATTACTCTATTTATTACATTAAAAGCTTTGTGATCCTGAGTATAACTTCAAGGGTTTTGTGCACTGTATGTATCAACTGCACACAAGATACAGGAGTTACTACAATATCTCGAGAATTCAGCTAACATCACTCGGACACTACTTACTTCCATCATTCATCACTTGCACTTAACGATCACATCAAATTACAAACTGCTGGAGTGGCTGTCATTACTATCTACTGTGGTTATTATGTTAGAGATTTGGTGAATGGGTGGCTTGAGGTGTAGTCACTGATGAAGAAGACTTAGAGGATAACCGAAAACAGCAAGCAAGGAAACTCTGAACTCAGGTAGCAATAACAGGCACTGCCACTAACAAGACATAAGAATTGTAAACTTACCGAATGACTTTGGCTGTCTCCACCCAGTCTGGCTGCAAGCCTTCCCAGGAATCTACTGTGATCCAGTCTGAGTTCTCTGTGGACAATCTGGCCATCTCCAGACGATGGCAGGATTCAATCAAACCCTTCTTCTTATAGCCATCACCCACCGGAGAGATGATGCCTTTCACCACCCTGTACTGACCTTAGACAACAAAGTAGTGTGAACAGATGGTTTATAACAATGGCACAGCAGATACGGTAACATGTTAATATCCACGCGTGATTCAAAACTCATATGATGAATTAGAAATACATTCTTTAAAGACTTTCTTCACTCACACTATGATTTAACAGATTTCCTTGCGTCTAATGTAATCTAGCAGCGGTGAAATATGAATCAAATGCTGTAATTTTGAGGCACTTGATTATTTAACTTTATATAAATTATTATGTATAGATATACTTTGGCTCAAGATAAGAACTTGAGCTAGCATTACAACAAGATAAGCTATATGATGATATAACTAGCACTGACAGAGGACATACTGCTGCATAATGAGTATTTTCCCTTTGATACTTTAAGTATACGCTGCTGCACATAATTATGTACTTGCTACTATAAATGAATGCAGAGCGTAATGTACTGGATGCATTGGAGTATTTATACATTATTGCTACATTTGCTTAAGTAAAGAATCTGAATACTTCTTCCACCACTGGTATCGAGTTATGCATACCAGCCTCTAATATTTAAAGTTGAATTCTCATGTCACTCAACCTGTGTCCTCCAGATGATCTCGAGCCAGTTCAAACATCCTCAGGTGCATGTTGGTGATGGGGTTGAAGGACCCGCAGGCCAACAGGACCACTCTGGTCACACTCTGATCGTCCATGCCTCGTACTACAACGGAGAATGTGCAGAAGAAAACAAAGACTGAAGTTAGTTAACTAGTTTAACTGTTTACGAGGGTCAGGTGTCAAACACCCTCTGGCTCTCTCACCTTTGAGAGGAAGCTCTGTTTCCGCTTTACCAGAGAGTGAATGACTATGTGATAGGAGTTGAGAGGACAAGTTAAGAGAAAGGAACACTACAATGTTATGGTGAGTTAGCTGGCGTCTATTGTCGTTCAATTCTAAACCGTAGGTAACGTTAGCTTTATTTGTAACCAGACAACGCGACCATGTCCGTTGGTACAGGATGCTCAAGCAGAAAACAAAGGACGTGTTTACTATCATAGAGAAAGATACATAATGTAAATATTCATTGCACTACCAGGAGAAACTTCTGCAGTCTGCTCTGTAATGGGGCACTTCCTGTGTGGACGTTACACTAAGAGATCTGATTGGACAGAACCAACCAGGAAGTAGATCTGATTGGACAGAATCCACCAGGAAGTGGAGAGCCGCACCCACACTCCCGAGCTACGTTCACAATCACAAACACACATCCACACACGCCTAGACAAAACAATATATATGGCGTAACCGTTCTTAAAAGTAGCTATTTTTTAAGGAATTGTATGATACAGCTAGTTTGACAGTATATTCGTCAAGCTGGTGCAAATATTTAACTCATCGCACAACTGATTTACACCTGTTTACAAAGAGAGTCCCGGTGAGATGTTTTCTTTTAGCATGCAAGCTAGCTACTCAGCTAACTAAATATCTTTAAGTGTAAACTGGTCTGAGCTTCCAGCAAAAACATTGGTCCACAGTTTGATAATCCCATTGATGTCGCACTAGATGTAGAGCGGTCTTGTTGTAATGCGAGCCATTCTGATGAAGTATGCTAGGTGGACGTTAAGTTATTTGTGCAATAGGTTACTTAGCTAATGTTGATATTGTCTACTAAGATTTCTATTTTTTGACTTTTTTTTTTTATTATGTTTTGCGTTCTTCATAGGTTGGAAACTAGATTTGAACTAAGCATGGCTTCTCGAGGGAAATCAGAAACTGGAAAATTGAGGCAAAATATGGAAGAGCAACTTGACAGACTGATGCAGCAGCTACAAGACCTGGAGGAATGCAGGTGCATCAAAGCCTATCTACTGAATTTCCAAATTATACTGTTATAGCTGGCAAGTGATCTAAGCCATAAAATACTTCTACATATTTTTTATTTTCTCATCTTCTCTTTGGTTATTCTAGAGAGGAACTGGACGAGGAAGAGTATGAGGAGACAAAAAAAGAAACCTTGGAACAGTTGAGTGAATTCAATGACTCCCTGAAGAAGATCATGACAGGAGACATGACACTTGTGGATGAACTCAGTGGAATGCAGCTGGTATGGACAACTACTGTGTATTTAGGATGACTTAAAGAGGTTATAGCTTATAGAACAATTATCTTAAAATAATCAAGTTTAAACAGTGGTTTGTGAAATGTCACAATTGTGCCTTTCATCATCAGGCAACCCAGGCGGCCATCAGCCAAGCTTTCAAAACGCCAGAGGTGATCCGACTTTTTGCTAAGAAGCAGCCGGGACAACTGAGAACCAGGCTAGCAGAGGTTTGCACTGCAATGTCAAGGACATGATCGTAGTTGTTCAATGCTCAATCACTCCCTCGTGTTCATCTGTGTGTTGCTTGGCCTGAAAATTGTCCAACTAGTGTGTGATGTTCTGCGCAGATGGACCGAGATGTCATAGTGGGGAAACTGTCGCGGGATGTGTACACGCAGCAGAAAATGGAAATCCTCACAGCCTTGAGAAAACTTGGAGAGCAGGTGAGGACCGCTCACAGCAGAGATGTCATGTTTTTTTCCACCGGTTCATGGGTGATTCAGAGGCTTGTGCTCATGAGTCCACATGACTTATTTTAGTCAGCTGTCACAATGCTGACGGACCAGTTGCTGCAACAGGCCTGAATCTCACTTCAGAAGAAGATGTAACATTTTAAACACAGTTGTCTGATCAAAGCTTGAATTAACGATGCATTATTTGTGTTTCTCTTTGTGGACAGCTCACTTCAGAGGATGAGACTTTTCTCACTGAAAATGCTACAGCTACTCTGAGCCAGTTTGAAAAAGTGACTGCAAACCTAGGTGAGAATAAACATGGGATTTCACTGATGCAACCAAAGTTTTATATTTACATTATAATTTAAAATGCTTATATTATACACATTTGTATATATATATTTTCTATATAACATGTATTCTTTGTAAATATAATTTCATTTTCTATTTTATTTCTTCATTAAGTGCTACTTTTATATAATGTGTTCAATTTAATTTCCTATATATTGTTTGCATTCAATTGAGATTTTAATATTTTGAATATCTGTTTATACATTTCTGTGTGTGTAGCGTAAAGGGCTACAACCACATTTCACTGTGCAATCCTGTATTAAATCCTTGAAATTTTAAATCATACCAATCAAGTTATTGGATGAATAATATATTTACCTCGTCTTGTCCTCTCTTTCAGGCTCTGAAGACAAAATTCTGGCTTTAGCTAGCTCTGGTGTGAAAACCAAGGCATAGCAATTCTACAAAATATTAATTTTAACTCTGTGTCTTTAATATTACCAAGTAAGTAAAAAAAATGTGCCTTTTGATCATTGGTTTTTTAAATCATCAGTGCACTTGTAGGTGTTGCTGTAGATGCCAACACTTTTTTAACCATATTTGTTTATAGCCCTTAGCTTTTGTAAATGTCTCTTATTTCTTCAGTGGCTTGTGAAATTGTATTATAGGTACGAGCATGTGGTTTTTGGAACATGAAGACATGTACATGAATGTAAAAGATAGTCCAGGCAGTTCAAGAGAAATACTGTTGTGATTTGTGCTGTATTTGTTATTGGGTTGCTGTGTCTATCAGTCTTAAAACCTTAAATTCAACATTGTTTTATGATGTAAAATATTCAAGATGTGTTTTTATTTAACTAAACTCTGCTGTTTAGAGGGATTTGTACATAACGAGAACTTTGAAGTAACCATAATACACAACGAAGACAGTAACACTAGCACGTAAAGTAGTATGCTGCACACATACATAATATGCAGTATGCTGCACACATACATAATACGCAGTATGCATACAGTCCGACTCAACAATATGCAGGATGGGGTTAGCTCAAACATGTCTGACACATGTCACTCACCTCTTTTAAAAGCAATCAAACCAATATATCCAAATGATCACAGGTATGTCAACCACAAAGGCTTTATAATTGTAGAAAAATAATGAACACATGCAAAATATGATATTGACAGAGCGGCAGTAACAAGTCACAGCTCTTTGACAGGAATAGATGGAAACGTGGCAGAAAAGGTACTAAACTCAACTATGGCCTCTTCTTCAGATTGAAACAAAATATACTGTTTGTAAGTCTGCATGGGAACAATTTGATCCGATGAGTTTTTCTCCAGTCTGCCTGCAATGTGATTAGAAATCCAACAGGTGGATTAATTGCCATCTGTTAAAACATTTCCGAGGTTCTTGTGATTGTTTCAGCATCCATCTCATGAGACCAATTCAGTTTGATTAATAGTCCGCGTGGATGTTTAACAGCCAATTAACATGAGGTCACTTTACAGTACTACATGCAGCCTGCACTGTTCATGGTGTCCTCACTCTGCAAAATTCAGGGCTTCAGGGTTACAAACAAAAAAGGATAACTCTTCAACCGCTCGACATGTGTGATTGAGCAGTTTTGAATAAAATGTATTCAGCTTTGAAGCCATGTTTCTTTGAATGTGAATTTACAAAAAAAATCAATAGTTTGTTTTATGTATTCATTTGGTTGAACTGGTTTCACCTTTTACTATTGGCTTTAGATCAAATCATTTCCACCACCAGAGGGCAGTATTGCTCCACATTTAGAAATACGTTCAGTAGCACTGCACAAGGTGTGTGCCACCAGCACCAAGTCTACTCTAGTGACCACCTACAGTATGATGACTGAAGAAAAACAAGAGGCGACAGAAGTTATACCCCATCTCATCATCCTTTATTTTGTTTACGAGCAAGCATCAACTTCACTACAATTTGCCTTTGAATTGGTAGAAAAGTGAGAGCAGCTCCAACAAGCACAAAGGAAGCATTCAACCGTTCTGAAAACATCGTCACCTTCGGTTTTGAGCACATTTTTAAAAGAAAAAAAATATATATATATATATATATCTGGAGTGTGGTGGACGTGTGAAACAGACATTCTGAGAATCAGTAGTGTATCACGTCTCCTGTCTCACAACACCACATGGAACGTACACAAACTTGTGGTTCATGCAAATTAAATTCCCCTTAAATCTTAGTGTTATTACAGTATGGCTGCATTTCAGTTTGTTAGGCAGTGACATTCAATTCCACCAACTTACACACCGGGGGGGCTGATCAGAAAGCATTAAACCCAGAAAACTGGAGGTGGTAGAGTCACTGTGGAGACCTGACTCATGATTCAGTGTGCACATATCAGTGACCCATGGTATTGTACTTTAAAATAGCAGATGAAATGTGGACATTAAGTGTTTGACGTAATGAAGCGGAGAATTTCGACAGGCTTATACTCTGGTTCTTGTGAATTTCATGCTGCCCTCAAAATCATTTCTCAACAACTCAGGCAATAGGACGCTGTTCAAAATGACCTTCCACTACACACAAACAGGTCAGTTAACAGTATACCCATGTATGCTGCCAAAGCAAATTTCATAATGTACTGTACATCTTTTTAAAGGCGTATTCCATCAATGATTTAGTACAATATCTATAGAAGATACAATATGGATCTACTTCCTCTACACATCAACGTGGACACATGACATCTATGTAAAACGTTTTCACTTTTAATAAAACTAGCAGTGGACTACTGTTACAACAAACTGAAACAAGATGTAATCCCCAGCTCTGTAAGAAATCTAGCATCAAACAAGTACAAATAAAAACCAAACAAACAAAAAATTGCCTCAATAAAAGAGCACAGATGAGTGTTTTTGTTAGACCTGCTAATTGCGCTATGATTGGAAAAAGGCACTCCCATCTCAGCCGGCAGTCCAAGTCATCATGGAGGGGAGACTGTTCACTACATTTCCACCACAGACCTTTTTGATTAAGTATAAATTAATCGAATCTAAGAAACAACTGTGCAACTCAAACCTTCAAAAAAAAGCTTGGAAACTGTCCCCAAAAAAGCCTTGAATGTGTATTTGAATTCAATTTTCGCCTCTGAAAATAGACTTGAATGCTAAATATGAGACTCAAAACACCAACGTTTCTAATCCCGATATATTGCCACATTCAGTTCACTTTTATGCCGCAAATCTGATCTGCTGTAATCCAGGTTTGGGCAGTGTTAACATTTTAACTTGGTACCCAAAAACATGAGACAAACACCAAATAGATTAGCGTGGAGGTACATCTGTATCTGGTTTTGTGAAAGATATATATACACACACACACAACAGTGATGGACAACAGTGTCAGAGGAGATAGAGGTTGGACACATTTTCCCAATCCATTGTATAAGCTTTATACTGACACCAGAAGGAAAAGAAGTTTACCAAATGTAAACAAATATTTTAGAACAACTCTACAGTACAGTTACATGTACAATAAAATCTAGTGGTCTACGGCAAAAAAAATATTTTGTTTTTAAGAATAAGAAGATTCATTTTCAAACCGTTTTCTTTTTGTAAACTATGCAGTCGTAACCTCAGTTGTAAATCCTTGTGATGGGATAAAGACGGTGCATATTCTGCAATTGGAACCAGTTTTAAAAATGCATCTAATATATGTCTTTATTATTATTATTATTATTATTATTTCTGGTTAAATAGCCGTGCCATGGAAAAGGAACTTGCAATATAACAATCCTGAAAAGTACTTTCATTTCTATCCCTCAAAACAATGCCAGCAACTGCACTATTCAACCAGGCTCCACTAAAGCTCTGTCTGTCAGTAGTTTGTAGGGCTTTGTCCTCCCTACTTCTGTCCACACAGCAGCACTGGGATACGCATGAAAGGCTTTTAAAGCTGCTGAGGAAATCCCTCTACTTGTCCAATTTCACTGGCAGAAATGTTAGTACCCATGTTTCAAGATCAACAGCACTGCAGTACCTTGATGGCCTAGTGTTTGTACCGTTCCACACGAAATGTCGATTTTTTACATTAGCATTTCCGAGTATGATTAATCTGAACAAAAAGAAAATCCCTTCTGTACAACAGTGAGATCTAATGGGAATGAAATACACTGACACCTGGAGTAGAGCATTGCCACCTGTGCAAGCAAAGCAAAGCGACATATGAAGCTGAAACCATCCACCGGTTCTGCCTACGAAAAAGCTAAATAATAGATTTTCCTCTTTGCAAAAAAATAAAAATAAAAATAAAGACAAAATGGACACCACTTTGTCATGGAAACCTCCGCTCAACAGTCCTGGGTTTCTCATCATGAAGCAGACATTTTTGTACAAGCATGATGAACAGCTTTTGCAGAAATTTAGCGACATGCTACAGCCTGTGTGACACAAATATTCTACATCACGAACTGCGTCGTTTTAGATATTGGACCCCGTTGAGAAGGCCTTCACTAACACATCGACTAATTACATGGTTTCTTTATATTTACAAAATCTTTAAAAAGCAATTTATTTCTCTACACATATGACTCAAATATCCTCATGCACTAAAAGAATAAAAAAAAGCAACGGAAAAAAAAAAAGCGATCTATTTGTTAAAAGCATCGTTTTGTTTCACTGTGGACTACAAGTCGAGAAAACTTAAGTCAAAGCTATACGTGAGATTAGCGGCAAACAATTCTAAAAGCATCACGCAAAGAAATCAGGGGAGGGGGGGGGAAGTCTTCATTTGAAAGCCTTACGTCTGAGAGAAAACTAAAAAGTGCAGAGTTGGCTTCCTCACTCAGTTCAGAACAAATGTAGGCCAAGTTTTCCTGGGAATTAAAATATAATAAATAAAAAAAACTAACAGTAAAAATCAGCAATCCGGTGATGACTACACTACAGAGTACCACCACTAAGATAACAACAGGAAAGCCTTGACCATATATACGCTGAAGGAAATTTAGTTTTGCTTTTTTGTATTTTTTTGTCTTTTTACATCATGGCTCCTTGTAGGGGGTGGGCGTGTGTGTGGAGCAGTGAGTATGAGGATCTGAGTGTGAGTTGGTGATGTGAATGTGTGTGTGTGTGTGTGTGTGAGCTTGTGTTGTGTTATGCGTGTGTGTGTGTGTGTGTGCTGTTTTAGTAAGTGAGGGTGGAGTCGTCCCACTCCAGCTGCTGCTGTCTGCTGGCCCCCTGCTGGTCCTCCGGCTCCGCGCCCTCCTCGTCTTCGCTGCTCTCTGACTCAGCGCTCGTGATGTCATCTTCCTCCTCTCCATCCTCGCTCTCCTCCTCCTCTTCCTCCTCCTCCCCGCTGCTGTGCTGGTCCTCGTACGTCTGCGTTAGAGACAGAGGGTGGGGTCGTTGGTGAAGAGGCACTAAAATGCATATATTTGGAGATCTAAACTCCTTCATGCGCATTACTCAGTGTCCAGTCTCCGTCTTTCTGTCCATTTATTTTCTGTCATCTCTATACTACCAGCTTTCAAAATGACCTAAATATCATTGCGAAAACATGCGAGTTTGGTCTCACTTAAACAAAACATTGAAACAAAGCCCTTTGACTTGTTTAGTACATGATTTTGCATACATTTTCCCTTATCATGATATAAACTGATATTAGAAAATACCTTTAAACAATATAGTAGTTAGGGGCCACTCTAAGTCTAACGTCAATACTAGAAACAGTGAGCTGCACACAGCACACTCATGTTAACCAACCAGACTGGTTTCTGATCTCAAGGACAAAAGAAACAAAAGATCTGCTGTTTAGGAGACTGTTTTTTTGTTTCTCACCATTTACTGCAGTCGAACAAGTTTTCATACCCCCACGGCAGACCACATTTGACC